TAACTCATCAACTTGAGGAGATGACTCATGCACATCTGATTATGTCACACTTGGCAAGGTTTCTTGTGCTTGTTTTGCAGGAGCTTCTTGAGCTTCATGATCACACCTAGATGGAATAACTTCCTTCTCAGATCGGTTTCTCCTTTTATACACCTGAACTTCTTGTTCTTCATTTGGTTTAGGCCACTGTCTCCTTTTATACACCTGAACTTCTTGTTCTTCATTTGGTTTAGGCCACTTAACAGCTTCATTTGATTCATCTCGTAGCTCCCCCTGTGTCCGTTTCTGTTCAGCTTCTGATGTACCTTCATCTTCATCGTCATACACATCTGCAGCTGGAATCACTCCAACAATCATATTCCTGGATGCTGCTTCATTATATTCTTCACCTTTATCTCCCCCTATCTCGTTGTCCAGATCTGTAGCATCATTAACATATAAATCAGGAAAGACATCAGTTAAATCTACTGATTCCCCATAGAAAGGTTCATGCTCCCTGAACACTACATCCATGCTCACAAACATCCGTTTTTCTGATGGGCACCAACATTTATAACCCTTTTGTTTTCCAGAGTATCCCACAAATACACATTTCACTGCTCTAGGGTCAAACTTGCCAACTGATGGTCTATGATCCCTCACAAAACATACACATCCAAATACATTTGGCGGCACAACATATGTGGTTTCACCAGTTAGACACTCAATCGGTGTCTTGTTATTGAGCACCCGGGATGGCATTCTATTCATCAAATAAGCCGTCGTCATCACAGCTTCAGCCTACAAATATTTAGGAACATTCATAGCTAACATGATACACCGGGTGATTTCTAAGAGATGTCTGTTCTTCCTTTCAGCCAACCCATTCTGCTGGGAAGTACCTGGGCAACTAGTTTGATGGATAATCCCAAAGCTTGACAGATACTCATCAAATTGGTTATTTACATATTCTGTACCATTGTCAGTTCGAAATATTTTCACCCGTGCATCATATTGATTCTTGATTAGGTTGTGGAAATCCTTAAAGCATTCAAACACGTCACTTTTATTTCTCAGTACATAAACCCAAGTAGTCCTAGTGCAACAGTCAATAAATGTAACGAAAGATTTGTATCCATAAAGTGACCACACCCCACTAGGACCCCACACATCTGAGTGGATAGTTTGAAATGGCACCATACTTCTGTGATCAGATGAAGTATATATACTACGGGTTAGCTTCCCATACTGACAAGCATCACATACTCGACTTTCTTTGCAAATTTTATTATAGAGACTAGGATACAACTGACCCAGGGTGTTAAAGGATATGTGTCCCAGCCTGCGATGATGAAGAAGAAATTCTTCCAATGGTGACTGAGACAGCACAGCAGCAGCCATAGGTGCCATATCATCATCCAAGTAGTATAGACCACCTCGCATAATTCCTGTCCCAAGGATTTTCCAAGTCCCAAGTTCCAGGAATAAACACCATGTTGGGAAGAAGATTACAGCACAATTAAGTTCTCCTGTAATGCAGCTGATGGATAGCAAATTGATTGGGAATGAGGGAACATGTAAAACAGATGATAGAGTCATATTTGGGCAACATTTAACTATGCCTACTCCCTTAATACTCTGGCCAGAACCATCAGCAAGTCTAACATTTTGCCCTGTAAAATCAGGAGTATAACTGCAGAAATCCTTATATGAACCGGCCATATGTTTAGACGCACCAGAGTCTATTAACCACTGTGTACCAGTCTCAAAATAACTTCCTTTCACAAATTTCGAAGTATTACCAAAGGGGTTAGCAGATGTAGCAAATATCTTGGTTGTTGACCTTTCATCAATGATTCCTTCCTTGAACCGAAGCCACTTCTTCAACTCATCAGTAGTCATTTCGACAGTAATAGTCTGAGATTTTCCATCATTTTTAGTTGTCCCCATTGCACTAACATCAGTAGGACGTGCTGCCCGACAGCGATTACAGACACCTCGGAATGCAAAATTTACATTCTCACATCTTGTATTTGGACACAGCCAATCCCCCTCTCGCTGCCATGATTTTGCAGTACCACTACCACATCCTTTACCTCTACCTGAACCATCGTCCCTTTGCTTACCAATCCCGGAAAACAGAGCCTGATATTTTCCATCCATAACGCTGCAAATTCCCTGGCCTTCCACTACCAGAATGCACACCTTCACACAATCACTCACAACTCCACTACCAATGGAAACTTACTCTGACCTTCACAGCCTCAATTGCACACTGCTCTTTGGTCTACTGCTCTGTTCTTCTCTCCACTCCAAGGCAGCAGCAACAACCCACGAACAGATTCAGATTTAGGCAACACACCTCTTCTCTACTTGTTGAAGCCACAAGTCATCTTCATCTTCACTACCTCACCAGTTCACCTTTTCTCTGCTCGCACACACAGCAGGCACCAGGCACCTCCCTTTCTTCTCCCTTGCAACCTACCAGCAGCCAAAGTTGAAGGGGACCTCACCTTCTACCTTCTCTACACTCCTCCACTGCTCCTCCTCTGCCACACAGTTCCACCAGTAGCAGCAGCAGCCAGGACAGGAGCCCTTCCAAGCAGCAGCCGCAGCCACACCCCACAGAGCAGCAGCAGATCCAGATGCACCAGCAGCTGCCCTTCTCCTTGGTCAATCAGCAGCAGGACAACAGACCAACACTCAGCAGTTCCCGCAGCACCTCCTGCGCCTCCTACTCTGCAGCCAGCTCGCCCAGAACGCGCCCACAGCCGCCTCCTCCTCCGCGTCGCGCGCGCGCAAGAGCAGCCTCCTCTCTCTCCTGACCCCGCCAGGCCCGGCCGCCTTGCCGGCGAGGGACTACGCCGCCACCGCCGGAACGCCAACCTGCTCTGATGCCATGTTGGGATTCGCCGGATTATCACTTGCGCCTCCGTAAACTCGCAAGAGAAGTGGGCTGGCGATTTTCTGGAAGACTGTCGAACACACACACTCCATTCCTTGTCAGAGATAAGTACACAATACATTTTACATTTTGGTCCTTGCCAAACTTCTATCTTTGCTTACAGGTACTACCAACATAGTCAAAATAAATCATCACATGAACCACAAGTCAATAAAGATTCAATCTTGGGAGCAAAAACCTATCTTTTCGCTTCCCTAAATTTGGAGTTACATTTATGGAGAAATCAAACTTTTTAGACAAAAATGTAAATGGTGAGTATATGGCAGTAACAGTACTCCCTCCCCGCCCCTCAATCATGCATGTCGAGTAAAGGTTAACTATAAATGACACAATCTATGAACAAAACCAAGAAGACATTTTACTAAGGACATACTGAGTAGGCAAAAGAAATTATGGCAGTCCGAGTACTAAGCGTGTAGGATAGCTATACCCGAAACAAATATTTTGGGGATGAGACCAGTATAAAATACACAATGTTTCAACTCTGCATTTGGGGAGGTAATCCATCCAAATTCAGCTAACCAAATTTCTTACTAAATCCAACTTAATTCAAGCACATACTTGGCATGAGAGAGTAAAGAACACATAATCATGTAAAATGATGAAGAAGGGGTGATACTAAAGAACTCCCATGGCGAACACCTAGTTGCCAACCGTTGTCGTGGGACGAGATGCAGCCCGCATGAAGCAAAATGCTGTCAATGACCAGTGATGCTAAAACAATATACAAGAACAGAAGTTGCTACATGAAACAGTGAATAGACACATAATTCGAGCAGATTCATCGGATGGGAGATTATGAAAGATTTATATATAAATTGATGGAGAGGCGGCGACACTGATTGCGTCAATATGGTCATAGCAAGTAAATAGAAGTGCACTAGAGTTTCTTTTTTGAAGTTATTGCTTCATACGGTTTCTGGTTTATCCAATAATCTATGTGGAGAATGTTGGAGCTAACTCAACATTCCCTTAATCTAATTTAGAGATAACCTGGCAGCCTTTCATAAATTTTCAAGTTGTGCATAAGAAAGATTCAAGCAGCTAACTATAAATTTACGCAGAGATGTCAGGTTAGCTGAAACCCAAACAAAGTTAACACGGTGATGGTCACAAGGCTACTAGATTTTTTTTCTAAACGCCTTAAAATCTGAACTGAACTCTTATATCATGATTCATGTCATCTAAATATTACAGTTTGGACAGGACAATGGTGGAACTTTGAGCGAACATTTTTTTCCTTCGGTTTTTAGAGCTATCACTATATATTTTGGAGGCAAAGCTATCCCTGTACCAAGGAGAGCAACTTGAATAAGAACACCTATAAGCTTTATACTGAATCCCTGATATTTTTATGAGGAAGACTGAATCCCTGATTTGTTGAAACTACCAAGACACTAGTTCAGAATTCCTACTAGATAGCTGCATAGTCCAGATTGGTATACTAGGAGCTACCGAGTGTGCTACTCTTAGGGCGTGTTCGGTAGCTCTCTCACTTCTTTGAAATCCTCTAATCCAGACTCGGATTCCAGCCGAACGGTTCCACTCTTGGTTATTGGACCAAGGAGCTGGCTCGAACCGGCCAATTTGATTATTTGCCACCAGTTACTCTGGACTTTGACATTTTGCCACTCATTACATCGAAATTGATCTGGTGACACTTCTTTGTTTGCATTTTATTTTTTTACCACTTTTCAACACAAAAACAATCTATGTAAATGATAGACATAAGAAGTGCACAAAACAGAGGACAAAACTACCCTTTTACCTGTTTGACTGCACAGCATCCTCCCAAATCGGGACGAACCCTAGCTGCTCGTGCTGCCCCGCCGCTGCCGCCGGCGGCCCTGTTGCTCCCGGGCGGCCCTTGCAGTTGTAGAGAGGACCTGTGCGGTGCCGAGCGCACCGCAGCGACTAGGGAGCCGGATCGGCGCAGGCGAGTCCACCGCCGCGGCTAGGGAGGGCCGGCGAGTGCTTCAGGCTGCCGCCGAGCCGTTCAGCCGCTTCCACCCGCCGCCCCCTGCTATTCAGTTCGTCAGTCACACCCGCCTGCCCCATGCTGCTCTTCGTCGCCCGCGTACTAGTGCTACAGCAGGTGCTGCTGGTCGCCGCCGCCGCACGTAGTGCTGTACTGCTGTTGGTACTGCTCAAGTCTCGTGCCTCGGCGCTGGCCAGCTGCGTAGACTCTTGTGCTCTGAACGAATGGCAGCTGATGCGATGCATAATCCTGGCTCTTGGAGCGGGAGCAATCACTGATGCGTATTAGCGTAGAAAAGTCCCTCGTTTGCTATCATAGAAGAATCGCTGAGCTGCTTGCATGCTCGCCATGCTCCCATGAAATAATCAGTGTAGCAGAGACATGAATGAACGAACAGGAAGAGCTCGTCCGCGTGCTCGGCCAATCGAAAACATGGGCACATTCGGTATTTCACATGGGCAAGGGCAAATCCTCAAAGTTCCAACTAAGAAGTGGCAAAATATCAATTACAAAATAGACAGTGGCAAATTGTCAAAGTCCCAAATAAGTGGTGGCAACAAATCAAAATCCCCCTTCTGAAATCCTCTAATCCAGACTCGGATTCCAGCCGAACGGTTCCACTCCTGGTTATTGGACCAAGGAGCTGGCTCGAACCTGCGTACAAATTTGACGGAGTCGCGGAGCTGGAAAAACCTGGCTCCGAGAAAATTGAGAAGCTGGATTCGTAAAGAATTACTGAAGAGTGCCACCGCCAAGTGATCGATTGACCGTTTCCTCGAGCCAACTCCACCAGACGCACAACTCCTCTTTCCCCTTCCTGCAACCCTAGCCGCCGCACGCAGCAGCCATGGCGGACTGCACCTTCAGCGTCGGCGGCCGCCGCTCGTCCATGCTTTGAAGCCATCCCCGCCCTGCTCGCCCTTGTCCGCCGCCGTCACGGACCGTCTCCTCTGTCCTCTACCACCCATCCCCGCCCTCGTCTGCCTCCGTCACCGACCGGCTCCTCCGTCCCCGACAAGTCATCCCTGTCCTGCTCGCCGTCTTCCGCCGAAGAACCCGGTGGCTGTGTCGATTCTCTGCCTCCCCGACCACCTCTTTCAATTTTTCGAAGGTGATGCCCTCTTTGCTGTCCGACCACCTCTCCCTGTACATGTTCATGCTCTGTTGCTATATGCTCTGCTGCTATATGTTCCGAAAAGAGATGCAGAAATGCTTTGCTGCTATATGCTCTGCTGCTATATGTTCAGAAAAGAGATGTAGATGTTACAGTACATGCTCTGCTGCTATATGCTCTGGTGCTATATGTTCAGAAAAGAGATGTATATGTTTAGTATATGCTATGATGCTATATGTTCAGTACATGCTCTGCTCCTATATGTTCAGAAAAGACATGAATATTGCTATTGCAGTATTGCTACAAGTTGATTGACGAGTGCATGTTCTGCTGCTATATATCTTGATTGCATTTTCCTGCTAGTACATAATGATAGCAACAACACTTGTACATGTTTTTTATAGTTAAGCACTCACATATTTTTTATAGTCAAGTTCAGAGCATATCTTCGAGCATGACTGACGAGTGGGATGAAGAGAACACTAGAATCGTTACCAACTTGATGGTCACGCAAGTGCGGGCTAGAAATAGGCCAAACAAAATCTTGACCCCTAGTGCATTCGACGAAGTGGCATTGCAATTCAAAGTGAGAACCGGATTGGACTACACGAGCTTCAATTGGACAACCTGGTTCTATGCATGACACAAGTGTGCTACTCCCTCCATTCCAAAATATAGTGCGCCCGCGCTTCCCGAGGTCCAACTTTGACCATAAATTTAACCAACGAGACCAATTGCGGCGGGAGAAAAAATATATAATTGAAAACTTCTTTGTATACGAATTCACTGATATAATTTTTGCTCCCGCCGCAATCGGTCTTGGTAGTTAAATTTACGGTCAAAGTTGAAGCACGGGGATAGAGGAAGCACTACATTGTGGAATGGAGGGAGTATTTCATGCAATGCATGCGGACAAGGCCACCTTCCCCCATCCTCCAAAGGGTGAGCATGTGGACTAGGCCCCCTTCCTCCATGACTCAGAATGTTAGAACTCATTTCATGTATGCCAATTCTAACATTCATTCTTCTCTTTATTTTTCGTAGACAAGTACTACCTTGTGGATGCTGGCTATCGTAATAGAAAGGGATATCTCGCACCGTACAAAGGTGAAAGATATCATGTGCCTGACTTTCATAGAGGTGTTCCACCCAATACTCCTAAAGAGAAGTTCAATAGGCTCCACTCGTTCAAACGCAATTGCATAGAGAGAGCCTTTGGAGTGTGGAAAATGAAATGGCAGATTCTTCTGAAGATGCCAAGCTACTCCATTGAAACACAAAAGATGATTGTTGCCGCTACAATAACTTTGCACAACTATGTTCGCTTCCATGATGAAGAAGATATTCACTTTGTTCGATGTGACAGGGACCCGGAATACGTGCCAACAATTCCGGAACGATACAAGAGATTTACTGTTTCTTCTCATGCATCAGATACATCAACTACGGCGGAAAATGGTGAAGACATGGATGTGTTTAGGCAAGAACTAGCTACAGCCATTGCTCTAAGTTGGTGAGGCATTGTTGATACATGTCCCTTTTGATTTGCAAACTTATGCAAAACTACGAGGTGAAGCGTTGATGTTAGAGACATTTATGTGCCCCTTTTGATTTGAAAACGTATGCAAAATGTGAGGCTTAAGTACTATGAAACATGTGTGCAACCTGATGCTCATGCCATGGTATGCATTGTTTCAAAATCTGCACATTCATTCTGTGTTTAAAATATGGATTTTTCTCTCTCTGTACTTGCTCTCGGTTTAGCCTCTGTTACCAGGAAAATTGCTACAAGCAAAAAAGTACTACTTTTTGTTACCTTGCTCTCTATGCATGCTGAAATTGCTTCTGTATATAGCGAAATTGGAAGAGTACAAAGAAAAGGGACAGTACACATCACCAACGAACATGCCAACCATTCCTGTACACAATGCGAAGAAAAAAAATCATACACAGCAGCCCACTACTGCCCAGGCCTGGCCTTTTGGCCTGGCCGATTGCTGGCTCCCAGGAGCTGCCGCACCGAACAGTTCGGTAGCTCTAGGAGTTTACGTGGGAAGCTGGCTGGTGGAGTTGGGCGCTGGAGTTGAGGATTTTGTGGCTGTGAGCAACTACCGAACACGCCCTTACTATCTTCAGATTAAGCTAATTTCGTGGCGCACATGGACATGGCCATCTCCTGAAGCAGCTGATGCGCCCAAATTTGGAACTAATAAACTGAAGAGCAATCGAACCACACTCCTAACCAATCGGAAAACCAATAATGGTTCTGGTTTTGCTTCAGGCTAGACTATCTCATATTCAGCATGTTTGGCAAATGATGGGCAGAGCAATAGGAGATTAAAGGAAGGAGTTAGTAGGATATTGGGCAAGGGAATTAGTACCCCTTCAGACAGCAGCGCCCTACCAGGACCAGCTTGTCCTCCAGCCAAGGACGCCACCAACCCCTGGCTCGTGGAGTCGGCCCGTATCGGCCGAGTGGTCGTCGCCGGAGACTCGGCCGATGAGGCGTCGTCCGCACGGGAGATGCCCCCGTATCATGAAGAACCCCTGACGCCGATGTCACAGCAGCACGGCTCGGCCCGCCGCGTTGCCCGAAACCTAGGCCACCCTACGAGACGCCGATCTCACGCGCCGCTCACAACGCGGTGGAGCATCACGGCGCCGGAGTCCAACCGCCGCTCGGCGCTCGCACCCCTCGTCCACTCCGCCGCTGTTTTTTTTTTTGAGAAGATGGCTCCGCGCTTCTCGGGTGCGATGTTTTTTCTTTAGGACGGAGTGGGCTCTTGACTTGATGTAAAATTACATCACGGGAGCAAAATTTTTACATTAGTGGAGCCTGGTTGAGTGATGCGTTGGAGGAATCTGGCTCGGTGGCTCGACCGGGCCAAGGTTCTTAATAGACTTTCTATAAAGTAACACTATTCTGATCCTGGGATCAGAATAGTTATTCTAATCACAACATCGCTATATAGGGCGTGACGGGTGTTCCTGAGATCTCGAACGGAGGAAACCAGAGCTACATGCTGACCCGTTGTGCACAACCCGAACGGCCCACTACCACACCCACGACCTTCTCCTCTCCCTCGACGATGCCTCACCATCCCCCGATCCCTACCAACCAAACCACCACGCCGCCCCTCCCCTGCCTGCCGCGCCGCGCCGCCCCTGCCTGCCGGACCGCGCGGCCCCTCCCTGTCGGCATCTCGTAGCCACTCCTCGGCGGCCTCGCGCCACCGTCCACTGGCTAACCCCCGCTGCCGCCCATCATCCTTGCGCGTCGCGCCGCCGTCCCAAACCTCCACCGTCCACAGGCCTCGCGCGCCGCCGCCGGCCATGGATCCGGGGCGCCGGCGCCTGGATTTGGATCGCGCCCATCGCCGCCATGGTCCTCGACTGAAGACGAGCAAGCCCGTGGCCCCCTCACTCACGTAGCCTCCTCCCGATGGGGATCCACCGTCGCGGCGCTCATGCCGTTCGGCACCACTTCCAGGCGTTCAACGATGGAGCTCCTGGATGTTCACCACTTCAGCACCCAAAACCCAACCATCCAGGGATCTCTGACACAATTACTCCACCCCTCTCCGCCCCTGCATCACCTCCTCCGCCAGCGTTGAAGCCGTCGTCGGCCCTGTGGAACAAACGCCAGCGCCGCCCCCCAAGAACCCGAGCCGCCGCCCGCCACCAAGATCCTGCGCCGCCGCTAGTGGCTCCTCCCGAACCCAACGCCCTGCACCCCCATCTCCTCCACGTCATGGTCGTCGCGCGCACGTGAGGATGGTGTTGGCCTCCATGCTTCGGACCTGGAGAGGAGGTGGCTGGCTCACACCTAGGATGGCTTGGCATCAGTCCAACTACACTGTTAGTCCCCGTTCAGGTTCTGCCTTTTCTGTGCATCCCCTCTTGTGATTGCTGCATGTGTGAGCGGCTACTCCCCTAGTCCCCTGTTTCTTTGGAGATTTTTTTTGCACAAGTTTCGTGAAAGTTGTGCTGATTTGATGCCCTCAACATGTTTGTGGTTATGTCTCTGATAACTAACATCAGCTTTTGTCCTTTGCCCAAATTATTGTGAGCAACGAATATTCATACATGTGTATTATATCAGTTCTTGTGGTAATACCTCTACAGAGCAAGTTCAGCTGGAATAAGATTCGCTGGAATTCGAGAACCTTTATCC